ACTCCGGTTTCCTCCCATAATCCAAAAACATGCAGTCAGGCCAATTGGATGTGCTAAATTGCCCCTAGGTGTGAGTGTGTGTGTGTGTGTGTGTGAATGTGTATGTCTGTCTGTCTGCCCTGCGATGGACTGGCGACCTGTCCAGGGTGTATCCTGCCTTACGCCCAATGACAGCTGGGATAGGCTCCAGCACCCCACCGTGACCCAGAAGGATAAGCGGTTTAGATGATGTATGTATGTATGTATATTATTATTGTTGTTGTTGTTTTGTTATCCTTGTTAGAATTACGTTTAGAAGTAAAAATTAAGCAGAATCCTTTTCCTTCTACTCTCATGCTCTGCGTGTGCGTGTGTGGGTGTGTGTGCGTGTGTGTTAAGTAGCCCTCTTCTTCACACAGCTGTAGAGACTCTTCAGAGAGTAATGGGGGATAAGTGGGGTCCTCTCCATGCAAGGGGGGGGAGAGGAAAGAAGGGCCGGATCATTTTTCAGATGAGAGAGCGACAGGAAACGGGAGGGGAAGAGAGAGACAGAACAAGAGGAAGAGGGCAAAAGAGGAGAGGAAAAATGAGACGCTGGAGTGCTGAATGAATGAGAGAGACAGTGAGAGGAGAAAGAGTGAGAGGAGAGCAAGGGAAGGAGAGCGAGGGAAGGAAGGAAAAACTGGCTGTAATAGGCTATTTGTGAATGCAGAAAGGAAGAGGTGCAGACAGTAATGTGAGATGGGTGATGAGGGAAGAACGATATTTAAGACAAGCACGCTAGAGGAGAAACACTGCACCAATGAGATTATGGTTTTGTGCGTGTATGTGTGTGTGTGTGTGTTCGCTAAAGCACAATGTGGACAAAATACTAGTATTGTTATTGCAATGCTATGTATTAAAAAGACAATATTGAATAAGTAATGTGACACAGTAAAATAGCGGCCTGCATCATTTTAGCTGAAATAACTGCGTGCCTGAATGCCAAATAACTGAATACCTCAGTTCATAAAAACACCTACAAAAACACTCATCTGGTTCTGTGATTGGTTTTGGATGTTCAGAACACTGTGATTGACTTGAGGGCTCGTTTGCATATTCCAGCCATCCGCAATACCTGAATTGCAAGGCCATTATCACAATGACTATTATAATTGATGTATTATGCAACACATGTACATCATTGCTGTCTGAACAAAATGTTTTATCTTCAAAACGGTAACAGGAGAAGGACAAACTCTTCTTAACTTTAAATGGAAGTTAATGGAAGAATACTTTTTACAAATAATTTTGGAGCACTTCTGTTTTCATTCACTGTGAAATTTGACAGCCACGATATGTGTGTATACTATGCAAAAGTATTTGGCATCTGAGAAAATCATAGCCAAGGCATTTATCTGCAATGTAACGGCCGCATAGACTAGTCGACTAGTCGACTGATAGATCCACTACTCAGCGCTGTGGGCAGCAGTCGGCTAGTTGAGGACATTGCCTGAAATATTGCGGTGGTAAAAGCCTCAGTGAAGAGGCAGGAACAGAGAACAGAAATCAGTTTTTCTGCAAAACATAAAGCCCAAAGTACATATATAGGTGTGTAAATACTACAAGAAATTAAACCACTTCCACTTCAGACTGTATAAGACTATGCAGGCTTGCAAGCCAGAGTGGGAGGTTTTGAGGACCGCGATATGAAAGGGCCATTTGAGTGACATGCAGAACATCCAGTCACTCACTGTTTAGTGTGATGCACGCAACAAAAACTTACTTGAACCAGATGGCAAATACACAAGGATTTCTTGTTTGCTTGCTACCAATAACGTAATTCAGGAATAACTTTTTAAAATGGGATATGATGAATGTTTCCTGGTCTAGGCCTATACCTATACCTTGCTATGAAAGGCTTTATTGATGAGTAGAGATGCAAATGTTTGCTGCTAGCGATACATGACAATCTTTGTTTATGTAGCAATGATGGCCAACTTTTTTTAAATGTCTAGTCAATTAGTAAAAATTAATAGTCCTGCAACCAATACATGGCAATAAGCATTTTGTAAAGGACACAAACATCAGAATAAATATAATCAAACAAATAAACAGTGTATTTACAGCTACCACCCAATACCTTGTTTATCTAATCAATCCTTCATTAAATTTAATTAAATCAGAAGTGCAGCTGATGAAATTTAATAAATCCATAGAATGGCAGGGGTGCACTGAGATGGAAGTCAAACCTGTATTTTTCTAAATGTATTCTTCTAAACAACATATTCATTTGTACTTTTTATCTTGTTTATTGTGTATTTGTATTTATTTATGTTGTATTGCGTTTTACTGGCAAAAACACAGTGCCGAGATTTTTAAATGATTTTCGTGACTGCTTAAGACTTTTTGTACAGTACTGTATGTGTCTGTGTGTGTTTACGTATATGTGCATCTATATGATGTGTCAGTTTCAGATATGTGGATGAGTAGGATTAAGTCAGGAAGGAGAGGAAAAGAGGCAGAGGAAGAGTGTAGGCGAAGGGAGAGAGAGAGACTATAAGACAGAGAGCATGAGTGAGTGGGAGAGAGAGAAAATGAGTGAAAAAATGAGACTGGAATATTGGAATAGTAGCAGGAATTAGACCTTAAAGAAAGAATGTAAAACAGAAATGCTGAAAATAGAAAGGATAAATAGTGAATGTTGGGTGCGTGCGCATGTGTGTGTCTGCATGTGTGTGTCTAAGAGAGCGTAAGAGAACCATAAAGGCGGTCATGTTTAGAGCTCATGTTTACTGTATAAAATGAGACCGTTTGGCCTGGATTCTAATGCAAATGCATGGAAATAATATGCAAGTGCTTTGATGTCCTTTTAAACACACATACAGACATACACACACAGTCAATGTATAGGAGGATCTATTCTTCATATAACCAGTGACACCTATATCGATTGTTTCTTTGGTGGTGAATCATTGTGTTTTAAAGCCACAATGCTGTTTTATATATATATACATACATACATACATATATATATATATTGGTCTTTCTTGCTTTCTGCTTCACACATACACAACACACACAAGTCTTTATTCATGTATAAATGAGTATTGGTTTTCATTGACCCAATGATAGCCTTTCTGGTATCCAGCCATTTCTGCATTGATCTCCTCAGCTGAAACTATTACACACACACACACACACACACACACACACACTATGTGTGATCACGCTCTGCCCTGGTTTTGGTGGAACAAAAACTATATTTTCCACCAATTACTATTCAATTTGCTACACCAAATCACCTTGAAACATAATTATGTAAAGCTGCTTCTTTTTATCATCAGCGTTAGTGCCACTTGAACATCATCAAACCGCAGAATGAGTCATAACGAAGAATCTTTACATATTCAGAGGGAAAAGTGTCAGGGTCTAAGCTTGCAAAGAAAGTGTGAATATGTGAAGGTGTTGTGTACATGTGCAGTGCCTCTTAAAAGCCATCTCTTGTTGAGTGGCAGCTTGACATCATAAGTCTATAACGTTGATTTATGTGCACTTTAGGGATGTCCCGAGCCAGCTACCCAGGCTTCATTCAGAGTATTGGCCAATACTGAATCTGATCCGATATTTGAATTATCATTGTTTTTCGCATTGTGCACACTTTGAATATCGCAAGCTTTTAAAACTATGAATGCAAAATCAGACATCCAGTGCAACTGGTAATTGACCAATTTTATGGCATAAATAATGTGAGCAAGATAAGTGCCCATGCTGTTCTTATGCCTATACCAAAATGTCATAGCATAATTTTGCATGAATCACTGTGCTAGACAGCCAGATGCATCATACTTTATGTTTAATAATTTAAATCGTCTCTTGGGACAATTAAAGCACAAATAATGTTATTTATATTGCAACTTTGGCCAATAAAAATGTAAATGTGAAATGTTCACTTAGCTAATACAGTGTGAGCTTCAAGTAGGTAGGTAAGATATTCTAGGCTGCTGATAAAAGCTGCAGTAAAAAGACTTCATTTTCAGCATTGTCCATTGTGTGACACTCTCATACGTTTTGTTTTTTTAAGGTTTAGGTTTAAGACTCTGTTACTTTTTGCACTGATCGTTTTGGGGTGTAATTAATATGGTACTTCTGTATTTCTAATTAGTTGCTTTAATACATATAAAGTACTCAAGCACAACGCTAAAGTTAATGTTAGTCATATCACTAAATGTGTAATAATCCTGCCATCCAATTTTATGTGTATTTAGCTTTACCAAGTTCTAACTATGGTTTTAATGCAGTCAAACCAGTGCTGAATTAAAGTTCCATAATGCAGACATTTAAGCTACTTTGTTAAAGCTGCACTATGTAAGATATTTTTTAAGAAAAAAAACATGCTAAATAATGGTGCATGCGTAGTGCTGCGAGTCACAAGTAAAGCCTGAGACAATCATTTAAAATTCTGTGCTCTTAGATGCAAGAGTTTTTTTTACCAGTTTTTGTACCATGTACGTCTTTGCACATTAATGTCACACGCTCATGTTAAAAAAAGGTCTCAATGTTTAGGTCTCAAAAGTAAAATCAACATTATATTGATGTAGATATGATGACAATTGTATCCTTCAGAAAACACATCCTTCTCCAAGTTCTGACTGAGCTGGCCTTTCAACACAATCGTCAGATTTATATGAAAAGTGGTCTGCAGCACAACTGACCGCCAAAGAGCTCTTCCGCATGCTGCGTGCAATTACACATTTTTACCGCAGAGGTCGCCAAATCCCCAAAAGCTACATTGTGTAGCTTTAACAACTGGTGAAAATGTAGTTGTCACAAGTTATGAATGATATCTACTTACAGTACCTTCACAATAGTGGTGTAAATAAATCGCAGTGGTGTATAATAGCTCGAACAAATGATTAGAACTGAATCGGGTTTAATATGTTTGATCATCAGTTAAATCGGTTAAAATACATCTTAATTTACTCTGCCACCAATCTTTCAGATCAAATCGGGACATTCCAAGCTTGCTTATGTGTGTGTACCTCTTGATGGCCTCGTCCTGACGCCTCTTCTTCTGGCTCTGCTCCTGTAGGTATGCCCAATGTGTGTGGTTGCGGATACGGTCACTCTCACGGGCGATGTCCGAGGCGTTCTGGATCACAAGTTCGTCGTAGGCTCTTAAACCACTATCCTCAACATACTGCAGAAAACGCACACAATCATCCTCACTGCCGTCCATTCTTTAGCACGGCACACTGAGAAAGGGATCACCTGCAGAGAGAGAGGCAGAGACTGATGAGGCTTACATACACACACATACATTAATAAAACAATATCAAACTGTCCTTTTTAGTCCATTAACATCCATATCTTTTCCTTATGCATTGTATGTCCAAAACACCACTTCTAACTAGTTTAAGATACACCCATTGCTGACGCTGGCATTCAGCTGTGCTCGCATAGCCTGTCCAAAGAAAAGCACTGCCAACAGAATGGGATTCTCTGGAGCAGCTGCACATGAGCCTATGGTCACCCAATGCCAAGCGCCAGCTAGAGCAGTGGTTCTCACATGTGGTCCAGATTTTTGTTCGACTTTACTTGCAACACAAAGGAATAGAGCAACAATGTAGATCATCTGGGGTCCCTGGGGGCAGGTTTAAGAACCACTGAGCTAGAGGAGTATAAAGTCCCCCGGATTAGACTGTAAAGCAGTCGAACTGCATTCTCTGGGCCTTTGGGATAAGTTGGAGTGGTGTTTGTGAGCCAACTAATCATCCAGCATCAGTACCTAACCACACTAATGCTCTTGCAGCTGAATGCAATCAAAACTAACTTCAAAGCAATATTCCAACATCTGATGTAAAGCCTTCCCAGAAGCTGAAGGGAAGCGGGAACAAACCACCTATGAATTCCCTTGATTTCAGAAGAACTGTTAAATGAGCAGGTGTCCACAAACCTGTGGACATGCAGTGTATGTTCTCTAAGTTTCCCTGAACCCAAATGTGAATAAATAAATACAAACTGTGAAAAAAAGTATGAAAATGTTATCAAAAAATTCAAATGGGAACAGAAAAATTCAAATGTTCACTCAAGCTGTAGTTGAAGAGTTTTATTCAAAAATGCTGTATATTCCATAACAATTTTAATGTAATGAGTTTTTGAAAAGAATAACAGCTAACATATAATGGAAAAAGTTTTTAGTTCTCCAATAAAAGTGATATCAAACATGATGTAGCATTGATATTTCTTTTATGTGTAAAGCCCACTTTCAAAAACCGAACCAAAACAAAACAAAAATAACACACAAAGATTCTTGAAAGTGGTGTATTTCATGTTACCATGTTACTCAAGATAAAATCACAGTAATGCACACCTTTGAGTGCCTTATTGCTTTTATAAAATAGTGGACAACATAAAATATGATAAAAATACAGAATTTATCATTCCACAAAGAAATGTAGTTGCTTGGAGTATGGTATTGTTGCCAAGCAACCATGGACTGCTGAATGAGGAGAAGAATGTTAGGGTGCTAATGTTTGTATATTGCGGTCAATTCATCATTTTTTTAACTCTTTGTCATATAATAATGAACATATCATAACATAGCACTGTGTAATGCCAAAACCTTCACTTTATAGGTACCTTTTGGTCACCAAATTACCACCGCAACAACAATGCCAATTTCCATTAGCACCTCTTTACGATTTCCAGTCTTATTTAGCACCAAGCTAATGCCGCCCTCTTCCCATGTTGGGGCTGAATTTCAAAAGGCCCCCTGTTCCCTACATAGCGTACTGCATAGGAATTTAAACAACCCCAAACAATACATAACAGCCTAAAAATTTTATCATTTATGTCATTTAGGATTCAGCCACATCCATACTGGACAAACAGTGCACTGCTTGGCTGTAACTTACACAGCTAACGTTAGCACACTAGCGAGCTCTTCAGGTAGTATGGAACTTTCTGAGATTTAGCCCAGGTTTGATGCTACTTAAGGCAGATCTGACTAAAACACAGCATTTGAAGCTTGTAAGCCATTCTTAAGTCTTTTTTATTGCTATTTTATAGTGAATAGTAAGTACTTTCATTCAAAGCCTTGTTAAGAAAATAAGTTTTCAGCCCCAAAAAAAAGTTTAAACAAAAACAGGTTTTTATTTTATCAATATACTCCATGGTCAAGCAGCACTAGAGTCAAAAATATTCCATTAACAACAATAGGATTAATACAGAATTCAGCTGTTGTGGTCCCATATAGAAAAAATACATAGACAAGTATTTTTATTTATTTTAAATACATTTTAAATACACTGTAATCCATGCTGAAATACAGTCCAAACAATATGTATTTAGGAATACATTGCCATATTAACCAGATGTATTAAAAATACATTTATTTATTGGGAAATTACAGGTAGTAATGTACCATACAAAAATAATTATATGTAAATTTATTTATTACATTTGAAAATGTATGAAAATAGCCAAAATACTCGTCTAAATACACGGTTTAGAATACCTTTCTAAAAGAATTTATTCCAGTATCTTTATTTTAAATATTAGCAATTAACCTTTCCGTTTTATACAATGTGTTTTGGAACGAAACCCTTTATACATAGACACATAATGCACACAACACTAATCAAAATAGTCCTAAACAAACTGGTAAAAGGATTAAGCCCAGAGAAAGGGACATGATCAGACACACACACACACACCTGGCTTTGGGACTGGCATGCAAAGTGAGAAAACAAAGGAAGCTACCAGATTTGAATACATTTGGCCCACATTTGACAACAAAAAGAGCCTGTATATGCTTTTGTATGTGTATGTGTGTGTGTATTTATGTGTTTATACTGTAAATAATCTGACTACTTGCCACCAGAAATTAAGGCATTTCATTTTTGATATGCTGTATGTCATTGTCAATATGCTTTAAAATGCTTTTTGTGAATGCGTGGGGGGAAAAAAAAGACAAAAAGAAAGTGTGTGTTTTCTCAGCATGTGCTCCTGTGTGTGAGAGAGAGCGAGAGAGTGTGTAAATGTTCAGGGAGACTTGCTCATCCTGTAAGCGCCAATGTGCGGCACAGACAGATCTGATTGGCTGAGGCAGCTCAAGCTGGCTCAAACGCCCACATTATGGCACACACACTTTTATCATCTCCCTGGCTTTACTCTCTTGTTCACCTCTTTTTCTCTCGCTCAGTTCAATTCAATTCAAGGTAGTGCCACTTGCATGCGACTATATTAAGTACAATACTGCCAAACGCAGAAAAGTGCCATTTTAAGGTTTAAGCATCAATACTTGTACATATGTAATAGCACAATGTAAGAAATATAAGAAACAAATACAAGAATAATGAATGTAAAAGTAATGTAAATGCTGTAGTAATAATAATTATCAGTGGTAAACTGTGACTATTAGAGCTAGACCCACAGTTTGGGCTGTAAATGTGAAAACCTGGTCAAAAGACGAGACAAAAACATCTAGTCCCAATTTCTATATATCGGACCACATATTCAATATATGGTGGTAGAATGAGGGAAGACTGATTGAGGGAGTGGAGAAAACTCTGAGACCTTAGGCTGGAGTTCTGGGTGGTTTCTGCTCAAAGCTAAAAGGCCAGACCCCTCCTTTTTAACTATGTTAAGATTAATAGAGGAACAGGGAGGAGATGGGGAGATGGAAGGTAGGGATGGGAATTTCAGGCATGGACCTCCTTCCAAATTTACAGTTAATCCATAACTTTATTTAACATGCTTATGGGATTTCTAGTAGAATGTCAGTGCTAAGCTAGTGGTACTGTACATTAACAGTTGTTGGGCAGTGCTAGATTAAACATGGTCAAATCACTTTAAGGTAAGTATTTTAACAATTCAACCCTTCTTTTTTAATCATTCAACCTTTCCAAGCTTTCCAAGCAATCTCTGACATGAGATTGTTGTGCATGTGCATGCGTGAGAGTGTGTGTTTGTATGTTCTGGCGCACTCATCTGGAAAGTGTGCAGTAAAACACCTATGCAGTAATACTCAGTACCCACATACTCTGCAGATTCTTAGTTTCTTAATGCACAGGTACTTCTGTTCTTGGAAAATAGGTGTCTTGGGAGATACAAGGGTAACTGTAATCACATTTTTTTTTGGCACTGGGGATGTGTATGTGGCTGTGCACAGAGTTGGGCAGAATACTTTAAAAAACTAGTGATGGCTTAATATTGAATATATTCTCCTAAATGTTTTCAGTAATATATTCTGCATACTGAAAACGTAACATTTTCAGATAGTAGTGGACGGTATACCAGTTCATATGCTTCACCAGTTGAAGTATGAGTTTTGTCATAGCTAGTGACGTGTTGTTTAAATTTTTTTCTGACCATACACACTGTAAGAAAACACTGTGTCCGACTGTCATGCTATGTGAAATGCAGCACTTACAGCCAGCTCTGTCTACGAACAATTATCAACAAAGCTCTTTCATTCAAAACAACATGCTGCTCACCGATTACTGAGCAAACATGCTGAGAAACTGAGCAGGGCTGCTAACACAGTGCACTAAAGCTAAAAGATGGCCTGAATATACACAGTAGGACAACACGTTCAATTCACAGCCTGTTTTACAAAAAAATCGTGTTCATGTTTACATCTCACAACTACATTCAGCCAAACAGAGTAAATTCAACATGTACGGACTTTGGTAGCAAAGAGCAACTTTTTTTTTCCTCTGCTTTGTTAGCCTACGTGTCTCCACCCATATTGGGGAAGCGGTTGTTTTTGTGTGTGTTTAAAATGGGCTATAATCACACAGTGTAAGTCTGGAGGGAATATACAAAGGTGTACAAATGTTTGAAGTGACCAGTGACTTTGTGTCCAACTGCTATAGAGTCAGAAACACTTCTCTGTGCAAGCAGAGCCTCCTTCACCTCTTCTGAGTCGTTACATCACATGGTATCATCAAATACATGTATATACATGCTAGCCTCTTTAGCTGAGTGGCTGAGGTCAGGGTTAGGTTTCAGTCATGTTTCAAATGAAAATAAAAAAAGCATTTATATGTATTCATATGTCTAGTGTTTATTGTATATTCTGCACTCACTTTATTCTTTTGTGTATCTGCACTTTATGTAGTCCCATTGAATGTGCTGCTGTTGTGTGTTGCACCATGGGGCCTGAAGAACGACCGACGTTTCATTCCAATGTATACAAGCCATATTGAGGAAAGACAATAAAGACCACTTGACTTGACTTGGTTTGTTACCCTTAGCCTAACATG